ATTTAGCTTTTGAATTAAAGTGAGAACTGAATGTGGCTGCAAAGCTGACTCCCATCTGTGTGTGTGAGGGAGAGAAAAGGAGAGCAAGTGAGCATGAGCACATGCAGGGGAATCAGAGCGAGAGAAGCTGATGTGGGCAGCTGCTGTTCAACGCAGGCACCCGTCCTCAGGTGCAGGCACACAGCTCAGCAGAGAGACACTGAGGTTTAAAGATTGGTGTTTTTCCAGGAGTGCTATAGGGACATTGTTTGAACTTTCCACAAAAATATACTGAGTGCTTATTGTATACCAGGCCCCATAGTAGAAGCTGAGGAAACTGAGTCACTACACACAGCACCCATGCCAATGACCCTGGGGGGAAACAGGGTGATGTTTGCTATCAGGGAGCAAGAGCACGATGCCACAGGGACCTGAAGAGGGTGGCATGAGGGAGTCTCACCTAAGCTGAGACTGAAGAGCATGCAGCAGCTGACCAGGTAAGGCAGGAGAAGAGTACTTAGGTGGGAGGCCCTAAGTCTGGGCCTCCCTGGTGGTGCAAAGGGTTAAGCACAGCACTGTGAAGCTATCCGCAGCCTCGCAGCATGAGTTTGATCTCCAGCCTGCTAGGGAGCTACCCACATGGGGCAGCAGATCTCTCCTGTCTCACCTGCTCCCCTCAGCAATGTATTTCAGTCCATCTATCTGTTCTGTTCCCCACTCTGTCTCTGGTGAGTCCTCTCACCACCTCATACCCCACACCTCTGGCCTATATCCCAGTTCTTATATGCATAAATAAATAATTTTTTTTTTTTAAAGGAAGGCCCTAAGTCTGCATCTACAGACTGGCATGTACCTGTCATTCCCCAAAAAGGGAGCTGGCCCTGGGTGAGCTGGGCTCAAGAGCTTTACCTCCTCCTCCTTTCCTCTCCTCTTCTTCTTCCAAGGAGAACAAAAACAGGTAAGAGTGACCTGGCCAGAGGCGTCCGTGAACTCCTGAATCCCTTCTGCTCAGGCTCTAAAGAGTCCAGTTGCTGCGTGTGGGGAAGCTGTGGGTCTCCTGAGCTGCTACTCAGAAAGCTGGACGTGCCAGGTCCAATATGAACATGGAACAGAAGAAATGGGATCTCCATCGTCTCATAGGAGACAGAGGTATCTGCAAGGGTCTCTGCTTGGTTAACCCTTCCCCATCCTCGGAGTTGCTCTCTGGGGGACCTTTCCGCTCTTACTAATGGGAATGAATCATGGTTCTGGCTGAGATGGAACGGGTCAAAATCTTGGCAAAGAAAGACCCTCTGTTGGCAGAGACAGGAATGAGATCCCAGGGGTGGGGGGATGCATTTCTGTCAGCTCTCGGGTTCCCCAATGACAGGCACAGCTAAGGGATGCTGGTGTAAAACTCACCATCAATATTTCAGCAGCATTATTTATTGATCACTCATCTGGCTGGGACAAAAGGAGAGGGTAATTCATTAGGGATGCAGGGCTGGTGGGGTCAGTTTGGGAGAGAGGTCAGAGAAAGGTGGATCACTGAAGAGCCCCATCCCTGACTCCTGCAAAATTACCCTGGGATTCAAGGGTGGGGGGACTTGTTTGCTCTTTCCACCTTACTGTACCCCAGATGAAAATAAGGGAAGGAGTAGGAGACAGAGACACCTGGGACAGATCTGGGACTGCCACCATGACTTTTAGCGAGTCCTTATGCTCTTATGCAGGGAGTGCTACAGCTGGGTGAGCTTTCCTCCATCCCGCCCAGCTGCCCCTCCCAAATTTCCTCCCCCTTGCAGCCTCTTGGGTACCTCTCCAGCTGCTTCTCTTGATGCCTTTTCAGATTGGCTCTCCTTAGTCCCCTTGGGCTGCAGGGCCTCCCAAGGTCAGCCTGGCAACTTTCCTGCTCACCCAAAGAAAGTGCCTGCTCCCTGGGTCTGACCCTCCCTTGTGAAGAAGGGGAGGGAGGTGTGAGCTTAGGAAGATTGCTCCAGCACCCACAACTATCCTGTCCACCTGAAAGAATGTTTTCTTTGTGCGTGTCCAGCCTCTCCTACTCCAGAGAGTGGAGCATGAGGCACCTGCTCACCAAATCTTAAGCCGGCTGACTGGAGGAAAGTCCCCTGCCAAGGCAGGGGAATCCCACACTGGAAGGGAGCTGCGCCACCTAGTGGACTTTTTCCTTTTTGCAGGCATTCCTCCCACCAATGCCTGCCTCTAGCCACAGGGCCTATCTATGCAACAGGCTCTCAGGCAAGACCCAAACAGCTCTTAAGACTTGAGGGACCCTCCTCCTCCAAGCAGACTCGATCAGCTCAGTGAGGTAGAAACTGGGGGGAGTTCTGGAGGAAGATGATCACGTTGTAGCTGAAATTTAATGCAGCGGGTAAGCCAGCAGGAGCTCTTGACCTGAAGACAGTCTCGTCCTATTATCCTGGATGCCACACACATTCAGGGACCACAGCCTAGAGCTCCCAGAGCCCCTCCCTCCTCTGCCCACCCTCTTCTCTTTCAGGTTGAACAGGGTTGGGCTCAGCTCTCTTGATCAAAGAACTAGCACAGACTGGAGCTGCTGACTTTCCTGACATCAAGACCTGGAAATCCTATTTTAAGCAGCTTCTCCAGGTGGGGGCACCCATAAGAAAGGCAGGGGGAGACCGTTGAAGCGGATTCAGGCCCCAGGTCCTTGGCTAGGATAGCCTCAGCCCTGAAGCTCAATGTTCCCAAGATGGTCTGGGCGTGGGATATAGGCCTAGACCTCAGCCCCCACTGCAAAGTTATCTCTCAATGCCTGTGGGGACCCAGGCAGTGACCACACACTCTCCACATTAACTCTCTCCATACACCTCTGTTCTGACATCTCCCTCAACCCACTCATCTAGAGAGGTCTACTGAGCCAGGCGTCAAAGGGCTGGTGATCCCAGGGAATGAGACACCAAGGGGTCACCAGATGCAGATACAGCCCACCAGCCTTCACTCCAGAGGCTTTCCGCCCATTCTTTTTGTCATCCTCCATCTCTCCTCTCCTCCCCTGCACCACAGGGGCCAGGCCCTGTGCCGAGTTGTTGGAGACTGAGTGTTTCCATGGCAACGGACCAATCTGAGCCTGTTCCTGTTGATATGGAGGAACTTAGATGTGCAGGGAGAGCCAGGCAGTGCAGGATCTGGCAGTGCCCTCCTTAGCCTCTGGACACTGGGTGTGAGGGTGTATCTGAATTTAAGTGTGTGTGATATGCAGCAAAAGGAATTTAGGTTAGGGAGGGCCTAACCTGATTTCCTGGCGGTATGGTAGCTGTTCTCATGAGACTGCAGCATCCTACTCTCTAGAGATCTTTCTAGAACAAGGGAGTCTCGCTCCTAAATTCTACCCTAACACTTTCCCTTCTGTGAGAGAAAGTGGCAAACTGCTCAGAGGCCAATGGTCTTCAGAGGGCTGCTGAGTGGAGGATCCCAGGGGAGATGAAAAGGGTGTCTCCCACACCTGCCTCCCCTGCTACCTCAGTTCAGGAAGCTCTCAGCCAGCTTGGTTCAAGGGTGGCAGGAGGACGTGCCCTTGGGATGCCAGGGGAGGGAGAGGAAAGTGTGGTGTAGGGGCATTTTACCAACCTTGGGGTCCAGAGGCTGGGGCTAGGTCCTTACTCTCACCCCCTCCTGACCCGTATCTGTTTCCAACTGGGTGGGATGGAGGAAAGCTCACCCAGGGGCAGCACTCCTTCCACAAATCTGAGCCCTTGCTCCTTTTCCCTCCCTCCCTCCTTCCTTTGCCCGCCTCTTTTCCTTTTTTTACCATCCTTTCCTTTCTCTGGGGTTCTACCTTTCAGGGGCTAATCCCCAGCTACTTGTGCCCTTGAACCCTGGTGGTTTTGGGCTCCACCTCCCAGGGGCTCAAACCCCATGTCCAGCAGCCTCCCCTCTTCTCTCCTCTAACCTAGCCCAGCAACTCAGGGATTGACCCCTCCCTCCTATGACCACTCTTTCTTTGTCCCTGGGGTCAGATCTAAGCCTGGTGGGTGATTCCTGTCTTGGCTTCCCCATCTCTACCCTTTCCAATCTGCCTCCTGTCAGTTTGCATACTTTCCTCCCTTCCTCCGACATTTTTAGCTTTTCTAGGTACTGTGGTCATCCGATCCTCCAGCCTTGCCCAGCAGCCCCCCTAGGCCATACTTTCTACCCTGGGGGCTTCATCAGGGCCTTTGTTCTAAGAGCTTACATCCAGTACTTTCTGTGAGGTGCCAGAAGTTCCACAGGGCGAAATTCTGAAGGACATAACAACCCTTGAGGGTTGGGGCCATTAGAATTTTTTTTTAAGATTTATTTATGCATACAAGAACTGGGGTACAGGCCAGAGGGTGAGGGAATGAGAGGATTCACCAGAGACAGAGTGGGGAGCAGAACAGACTGACTGGAATACACTGCTGAGGGCAGCAGTGGGTGAGTCAGCAGAGGTCTGCTGTGCCATGTGGGCAGCTCCATGGCCGGCCAGGGATCGAACTCGTGCTGCAGAGTCTGTGGATAGCTTCATAGTGCTGTGCTTAACCCCTTGCGCCACCAGGGAGTCCCCCATTAGTATATTTATTTATACAAGCACTGGGTACAGTCAGAAGCGTGGGAGGGTGAGAGAATTCACCAGAGCCAGAGCGAGCAGAAGGACCGAAGTACACTGCTGAGGGCAGCAGTGAGCAGCAGGAGAGGTCTGTGCGCCATGTGGGACCCTCCTCCTGTGGCCGGGGAGCAGCCGGGGATTGAACCGGCGCTGCTGAGGCTGCAGGCAGCTTCGCAACCCAGCGCTCAACCGCTGCGCCACCGGGGAGGCCCATCCATTAGTATTTCTTAAGCCCTAACCTCTTCTAACCCCGTGGCTCTATCTTGAAGCCCCCTCACCCCAAATATTTTTTAGGATAAATCAGCTCAAGTCTATTTCTTACCTGGGGATCAGAGCTCCTGGGGATTTACTGACTTCTCTCCCCTCTCCCCTGAGCTGGGCCGTTTTTCACTTGAGATCATTCCCACATATGGACTGGGGCCCAAGAATGAAGCACAGAGACGAAAACAAATGAGGTGCCAGAGTTTGGTTTATTGGCTCATCCAGTGCCAAAGGTCCAAAGGGCACCCTCTTTCCACAGAATAGGGAGCCCCCAGCTCCGGAATTTTTCTTCCTCACATGTTCCTCTTGGCCCTGACTGAAGCCGCGGCAGAAGCTGGGGCAGGGAGTGGGGCCAAGGCTGGGCTCTGACAGGGGTCTGCTCACATGGGGCCCAGTCTGCTTGGTACAGGAAGAGGACCATGGGGGAAAGGAGGAGGGACTCCCTTGTAAAAGGAGAAGAGCCGACTAGGCAGGGGCCTCTACAGTGGGTCCTGAGGGATGGAGGATTCCGGCTGGTCAAGAATGGGATGAAGTAAAAGGAGATCAAGGGAAGAAGAGAGGGTGAGAGGCCCTTCACTCACTTATGGGCTAAAGACTTAAGAAGTGCTGAGATGGGGGAAAAGGGCCAGTTGGCTGTGATGTGAAGGGTTGGAGGAGGTCATTCCTGGAGAGAAAGTCCTTTATCTCAAATCCTCCAGCCCTAGACTGACCCAGAAACACGCACACACACACACACACACACACACACACACACACACACACACTCTCTCTCTCTCTCTCTCTTTCTCTCTCTCTCTCTCTCGCACACCCCTAGAACCCTGCCTGTTTAAAGAGGACATGTAGCACACAGCCCTACCCAATGCCCCGAGCTGCAGCTCTGGCCTCCAGGTCCTGGTCACTTGAGCACACACTGAGCCCGTCTTCCATTCACAGCTGCCGCCTGGAGCCCCTGCCCAGCCTCCCTGAGGCCTCCCACACTGGCTCCTTCTTTCCCAGATGCCTTCAGGCCCATGTCTGGTCTATCTGGGTGGTGACTGCCTCTGCCCCCCCAACCCAGGTAGACCAGTGGAGGCACGTCAGGACCTCACAGAAGGGGATGGCCATGGTCTTCAGCAAGGCACTGGGTGGGTGGGGGCTGGAGTGGGAGAACAGCAGTTCAGGCTCTGAGGAGCCTCCACTCCCCTGGGAAGCTCAGTCTCAGTTCCTGGTCCAGGCTGTACCCTCAACCCCACAGCAGGGCTTCTCTCTTTTCCAAGCCCTTCCAGTGGAGAGGGTCTGGGCAGACATTGGAAACAGCCATTTGAGGGGCCCTGGGGCTTGAGACACCTGGGCTACTGGTACAGTGTGGAGCAGGGGCTGGGGCTGAGGCCCTTCTAGAGGCTTCCTCCTCACTGCAGGCTGGGAGGGGGCTGTTTTGGGACCTCAAGCTGAGTCGCCTCCGCCAGAGATCTTCTTTTTGGGCCGGGTCTTCAGCGTCTTGGAAGCTACAGGCTGTGGGAGGAAAGAGGAAGACAGAGGGCTCAGTTTCAGCCACAAGCCTTTCCCCATTTCAAGTGTGGCTCATCAGCGTGACTCTCACCTCAGCTTTGGGCACTTTTTTGATAGATTTGACTTTCTTAGGGGCCTTGTCTCCCATGTCATCCTCAGGGGTCTCTGTCCGGGGATCTGCTTGGTTTGTGCTAGCCCTTAAACTCAGGGCAGGGTCATCTCCTGGTTGGGTGAACAACAGCAGGTCACTTGGGCGACTCTCCCACCTGGACTCCTTGCGCGCGCGTCTCCCCACCCAGCTCTGGGCCCGGTCTGTACCTAAGTCCTCAATGGTGTCCAACAGGCTGCTGGGGCTGGGTCGGAGGCGGCCTTCAGGCCCCTGCAAGGGCAGCGCATCCTCGTCCCGGATCAGGGTCAGGTCCTGCATGCTGAAGCTTCGGAGTTTCTCTGACAGCACCCCCTGGCCCTAGGGTCACCACCACGCACCGGGAGAACCGGAGGAAGGGGCGGGGTGGAGATAGAGGTCACCATGGTGCACTGGGAAGCTTCTGGGCTCAGTGCTTTTCCACACTGTCCTCACCCAGTCCTATGACAGCACTGACAGTGGGGTCATACTTTCTCTTTGCAGAGATAAGGAACTGTGGCTCACTGAGTGGAACTCATTTAGCTGGAGACTGACAGAACCAGGACTGGAGCTGTTCAAACCCCAAAAGACAGCCCAGAAGACAGGGAGGTTGCAAAGGGATCTGGCCAGGGGGATGAGATGGATAAAGTGGGACCCTGAGCATGCCCCCATCTCACCTTGGCTGCAGCTGTGACTGCCGCATTAGCGGCCAGGTTCAGGCCCCTCTTGCCCACCCTCATCATGGTCTCGTAGCTCTTGTCTCTGGCCTGTGTGATGTACTCATCAATCTCCTGAGGGGTCAGAGGGCAAGGAGGAAGAGGTGAAGGGTGGGCTCTGCTGGCCAAGTCTTGCTCTGCCCTTGTTCACACACTGGACAAGGGCACTCACTGCCTGCTCCAGGAGGCCAGGGCCCTGCCAAGTCACTTCAGACTCTGGCACCCAGGGGGAGAGCCAGAAGTGGTTGCAGGCACTGGGCTGCCTCAGGCTGGAGCAGGCTGGGAATCGAGCTGAGAGAGGGGGCAAACCTTCTCCTTGTTGGACAGGGTCGGGTGCACGAACTTGCGGTAGAGCACGCTGGAGCCCTTGGTGTAAGGGGACAGCAGCCAGATCACAAAGGCAATCTTGAGCTCAAAGTAGAAAGGGAACCTGTTGGGGGGACAGAGGCAAGCAGCAGGCCCGGGGCAGGGCGTCAGGTGGTGCACTGATGCCCTGCATGACCCTGGCCGGCCCCCCACCTGTTACTGCACTAGTCCCCATGTGGCTCGTGAGACTGGTCATTTCTAGTCTCAGGGGGACTGGGAGGCTCAGCTGAGACTGCAGGTGGGAAGTGACCCCAGCAGGGAACCCTCAGAGCAGAGGCTTTCCTCGCCCTCTCACTCTGGCTTGAGACCAGCCACTCCTCTATCCTAGGTCAACACCAAGGTGAGTGCCCTACCATTCTAGTTCCCATCCTACATCTTCACCCCCTTCTCTTTTCACATTCCCACCCCCCGCCATTAAGTGCTGTGCACATCCAACTGTGGATCCCCCCCTCACCACCATGAAATGCCCCTTGTTTTAGGATTGTTCTCCATTCTCCATTGCTGCTTCTTGGGCCACAAACTCCTTCAGGCAGGTGTCCCACATCCTCACAAGCTCTCATCAAAGCTCTCTCCTGGGCTTTGTCAAGAGGAATCATTACTCACTGCCCTCAATTTTTAACTCATTGCTCTTTTCTGATCTTTAGGAAGTTTCCTAAACTACTTGTGCTAAAACTGTTTTCTCAAAGGTCAGAGATCATTGTGATAATCTTTTGTCTTCTCCCTCTCCTGACTTCTTTTGATGTCCCATGCTATGTGAGTGCGCTCTTCCAAGAGGCATTTGCTCAGTCAATAAATCTTTTTGAGCTCCTGCTGTGAATAGAGAGATGATGAAGAACTTCACTGTCCTCCAAGTGCCCGCATATAGTCTAGTAGCGCCTGAAAAAGTCTTTGAAACACAAGCATTTCAGTGTTCATAAGACTGCATCCTTGTCTATTTTATAAATAGGGAAGCTGAGACCTGGAGAGCTGTAAACCACCCATAGTCACAGAAAATCTGGCAGAAGCAGGTTTTCTGAATTCTATTGTAGTGCTTTGGCTGCCACCAGAAAGAACTGTAGGCATTATATCTGTTCTTACTCTGCTGATCAAGTCTGGTAGGTGGGACCAGGTGTTATCCAGGACCCCATGAAACTGTGAGTGAACCCCCACCCTGGGTCTCAATCTTAGGTTTGGCTAGCCGAGAAAGTCAGAGGCTTCAGACCCCAGGATGCGGGGGGGTGATGATGGACCTCACCAGGAGAGCACGATATCTGTGAGGGTCTCAGCTGTGGTAAAGAAGGCAAAGACGATCCAGTACATCATCCATTTCACCTGGGGATACAGAGGGAAGCTTTGGCAGGGTCTGGAGTGGGGGGAACACCCAGGACCCAACCTCTGCTTGCCAACTATGCTGGAGGTGCTTTGGGGCAGGAACATGCAGGACCTCAGCTTTGCCTGTGGATCACACCAGGGCTGAGAGGAAAGGAAGATACAGAACCCCTCTGAACCAGGGTCTCTTTAGTGATGAGGATGTTGGCACAAAGTCACCTCCATCTGTACTGTCACCCACTGTCCTCCCCTATTTCTGCCACACGGGCTGGGTGGGAGATGAAGGGTGCAACACTTACATATTCCTTTACGTTTTTTGTCTTCACGGCCTTGTAGGAAGAGTAGGCTGGGTACAGGGTGCCAAAGATGAGCCTAGGGAGGCAGGCATGGTTACTGGACCCTTTGGCCAAGAGTAGTGGCCTCTCCCTCCCTGCTTTGTGTCATTCCTGGGTAGGTAAGGGGAGAACTCCAGAGTGCCACATCAGTAGGACTGACGAATTCAGACCAGGGGTTAAGACCAAAGCAGTCAAAGCGCTGGCACTTGCAGCATGGAACATGGAGGCCGCAGCCAGCTAGGTATTTCTCCCTTCTCCATTCCTCCCTTCTCAGTTTTCTCAGCCCCTGAGGAACCAAAAGCCCTAGCAGTGAAGGCCCAGTGTGGTCCCTTGAGCCATGATACTTGGTTCTCACAAACATCATAGCGAATAGGCTACTGCCATAGTCAGTGTTTTCCTTCTCTAGACACCAAGCCCATTCATACCCATCTGTCCTTACCCTCGACCTCCCTGTCTCCGAGCCAGCCTGGGTAGGGCCAGGTCTGCAAGGGAACCTGACAGCCCCTAATGGGACACTCTGCCCTGCAGTCAGAGGCACACTGTGGTCCTTGGCACCTGTCAAGCAAAGGGCCCAGAGGGCAGGAGGCCCTGGGAGGAGGCAAAGAAGTCTGTTCTCCCAAGTAAACACTTTTGGGACCAGGCTCAGGGGAGAGCCCTGCCCTGGCCATGAGGCCCTGGCTAGAATGGGGCCTCACGGTAATACTGTTAGAGACCACATATAGGACACAGGTGAGGGATGAGAGAACTGATGCTCTGTGGGGAGTTCAGTCCAGACGAGAGAGAAGCCACCACCCTGAAGGCCACATGGAGGTATAAGGCCTCTGATTCTCCCTGCTGTGGGACTGGAAAGGGACTCCTATGGGTGTAGAGGAAACCAAAACACAAGCACATGGCAACAGTGAATAGGAAGAGGGGTGTGGAGGGGGGAAGGAGATGCTGAGGTCTGTACCCCATGGTGGAAACTGAGGGACAAGGTCCTGATCTGGAGCAGGGTTGGCTCTGAGCCCAATCGGGGAGCCCTGGCCAGTTGACAATGTGTGAACACGCTTGCTCCTGCATGCACCTGCCAGGAAACTGGCCTGTGGAGATGGGGTGGGGGGTGGAACCCACAAGGACAAAGTCTGGGGTTGTGGGAGCAGGGCTCCTTTCTAGGGCCTGGGGGAGGCAGGGACATAGCTCCATTAAGTGGCTGGCACTGGAACGAAGGCCACCTAATGTCTTCCCCTCCATGGCTTTCACAGTCCCAGGCTGAGCACACACATCCTCTACTGGGTTACCTCCCACACTTTGTCCTCCAAACATGCTACTGGCCAGACCCAAACTGGCTCCCTGGGTGGCCTTGAGAGCACGTGTGCTAGTCATAGTCTCCTGACAGTCAATGGAAGAGGGAGGAGGGACCAGCCCTTTGGGAGGCCAGCAGCAGGGTAGGCCCTAAGCTATGGAATGACGAGGCCCTGCCTTGCGCCCCACTCTTTTCTATTAGCCGCCCTCTCTAGGGAGATGAGGGCCCAGGTCTGAGGAGCTCCTCCTGCCTTGATCTGCTAAGTGGGGGAGGGGCCGTGCCACCTCCCTTCATAAATCAAGCCCAGCTGCCCAGTCCCTAGGTTGAGGGCGAAGAACAAGGTAATTAAAAATAAAAGGATGGAAAACCGGGCCTGCCAGGCTCCTCTTTAATATTGGCCCCCTCAGTCCCAGGTCCCATACCTCCATGCCTCTGGGGACCCCACAGCGAGGCGATGTGCTTTTAGGTGACTCTGCCCCATGAAGTCACGGAATAGCCGATCGAGGCGTTAACAGCCCTCACCCGCCGTCCGGACCCGCCATCCGCACCCCGCACCCGCTCCCGACCCGACCGCGCCCGGCCGCAGCCGCACTCACACCACCAGGCGAGAGATGATCCAGGACACCATGGCGGGGCCGGGCGGGGCGTGGGGCGTGGACCCGGCCGGCCCGAGGATGCAGCTGCCCGAGGCTAAGCGGCGGCGGCGGCAGCAGGAGCCGCAGAAGCAGCAGCAGCCGCAGCAGCAGCCGCCGCGGGGGCAGCGGAGCGCGGAGCCGCCGTTAAAGGGGAGGTCCTTGCCGCAGCCGCGGGCCGTGGGCGGCAGCGGCTCTTAAAGGGGAGGCCGCGGCGGCGGCGCGCCCCCCGCACCGGCTTCCTCGGGCATGCGCCCTTGACCCTCGTTGCCCTGCCTTCCTCTGATGGCTGGTTTACTTTTCTTGGGTTCTCAGCTGAGGTGAGATGCTCAGAGGCCTTCACGATTCCATCATGGCATTCCACCCTGAATCCCAGCAGGCTGCCCTGCCCACATCAGGCTGAGAGGCTTAAGCATCCCACGAAGAATAATAGCTCTGACTTACTGAGTGCTTACTTTGTGCCAGGCCCTGCGCCAACAGCTTGACTTGCATTATTTCTGTGAATCCTCCCCACCATCCTAAAAGGCGGAGGTTATAATTATCCTCATGTTGAAGATAAGGGACTGGGAAGTGTAGGGAGGTTCGATGATTCGCTGAGGGTCACAGAAACACTAAGTCATGCTACTAAAATATGAACCTAGGAAACAGGCGACTCTTCCCAACTGCTGACTTAAATCCTTCTGCCTCCCTCATCACAGACCTTGTAAAGCCAGCAAGAACTCCTGAATCAAAGGTTAGCTGCACCTGCTCACCCCACCCCTTCTGAGCACATCAGCAGTCACTCCAGCCGCGAGCCAATACCTCCTTCCCCCAATCTGATCAGCTGTAGTTGCAGCTTCCTAAGTTTAGCAGTGGAGCAGAGCCCTGTGCTCTCAAGGTGGATACCCCACACTGGGGGAGGAGAGTGACACCCTCTCAGAGGGGCTGAGAGGACTGCTGTCTAGGTTGCAAATGGATCCAGGGGCTCCAGTCCCACCCCCATGGGCAGGTACTGCTGTGTAGTGGGTGCCCTAATTCTGAAGACATTTATATCTACAATGTAGGCTAGCCGCCTCCTGATTTTCACCAAAGCAACAAAGCTCCAACCTCTGCAACCCTTTCCCCCGCAGTGCTTTCCTTTCCTGTCCCATTTCAAAGCTTCTGCGATTCTTCTGCCCTTTATGTCAAGGTGTAATCCTCCTCAGGATCACAGCATCAGTCTGTGCCCACACAGGCTGAAAGGACAACTTAGAGCTCTGTATCTGAGTTCCAGTCCTCTTCAAACTCAGTATCCTTGAACCACACAATGGTCTGTTTCCGCCTTGATAATTGTATTTCCAGGCTCAAACATTTTGGATGATGTTTTCCATCAAGCTCAGGGGAGCAGCATCTGATGACCCTCTTGCTATTCTTTACAACTTCCTCTCCTCTGAAGGGCCTTTTCTAATTGAAAACACAGACTGTCCTAACCCCTCAAGCCACTTTAATTGCTACTTGGTAAACAAAAGTAAATCCCATTTGGGTATTCACCCACCAAGTCTGAGGTGGGCTGATGGACGTGTGGGTAGCCAGGTCTCTACCTTTCCTGCTCTGTTCACAGAGCATACACCATGGGAAGACTTTCTCTCCTCCCACCATCTAACTCATGTGGCCCCGATCCTCACCTCCAAGCTCTCAAACCACAATGACCTCACTGTAGCATGTCTCTCTCCCAACTGGACACACATTCAGGAAGCAAAGAATAAAAATTGGATGTAGCCATGTACCGAAGAACAGAAAATGAACTATCCTTCACCTCCAACCCTGACCTCAACCTGGCCTTGCTTTCAGCACAGTAAAGATTTAGTCCACTCCAAACAGATTTGTTAGATTTTTAATAAGAACATGGAAATCCCAATCAGCCCTTCGACAAAATTAAAATACAGAAAGTGAAATTAAAAGTATTCTACAGTAAATGACTTTTATTTAAAAAAAAAAAAAAAGTAACTGTGAACATATAAACAAGCCTGCAGGGCACTACAGTACAGCTGGAAAGAAGATACATTTCCCAATGTACCTATGGGCCAATAAGTTCCATCATTTTCAAATAAATTCTTAATAAAACTCCACTGAGTTGGAAAGTTTAGTGAAAATATTTCTGGACAAAAACCCAAGAACCAAAAAGCCTCACGTAGGAAATCAAACTTTCCTTTGCATTTGGAACTGGAAGAGGAGTCCCATGGGAACGCTGGTACTGGGTGAAAACGGTCCTGGGAGTCACCAGTGTGTGCGAGGAACACACCCCAGTTCAGACATGACAAAGTTCTTTCTCGGATGGCTGTTCCCTCAAGATAGGACTGAGATGGAAGGGGGAGAAACTAAAAAATCCTAAAAAGCCAATTCTTTTGGATTCTGCTTTGGCTGATTTTGTGCTATAAAGGGCAGTTGTTGGTTTCAAAGAGTTTTTTACGGAAAGGAAGACTAAATGTAATGTGCCTTTCCTCATATTCCAGGAAAACAACTGTGGTATTCAAAAATTCTAAAAATATCTACTTTCATGAAATAGTAACTATTTCACTACAAACCTATTTTTCACTAAGTACACACGTTTCCTAATCCTGGAGCCTCCTGGGAAAAGCAATGGGTTCTCTCTGGGTCCTGCTAAGACTCCAGCGTTCATGGGAGAGATTGTGGGGAATGGCTTCACCCTGTCCCCTGGGATGAGCTGTGTCAGAGGTCATGTGCAGAGATACAGTCAGGCTTCCACCAGGCATGTTTAAGCAACGAGCCCCTACTTGTACCAGTTATGTGATTCCCCCTACCTCCAAACACATTCCTACTTAACTAGGCACGAGAGAAAAAGAAAAGAAAGGTGTGCCCACTTTCCTGGGTTCCATGAAATCTCAAATGACAAGAGAATGTGCAGGAAAGCCCAGCGATGTTCAAGCAATTCAGAGTCCCAAAAGGCCACAGGATGGGAATGTGGCACCCTCGGCTTGGAGTCTGAAACTGTGTGTGTGAACAGTGCGACTTTCCTGTGTCAACCTTCAGTGTTGAGGCAGCGTAGAAAGGAGTGGCTGGAAGTTTGTAATACTGACCACACTGGCTCCGAGTGAGGGCCTCTGCTCCAGCAGAGAATCTTGCCATTCCCTGTATGTGTTGTGAGTGAAAGACCTGCTTCACAGGGGAGTTTGGAATTTTTCCACACCTACGACCTTGCCAATTTGGATTCATGAGCCTTGAGTGTGCCAACAGCATCTTTCACTGCATGATAAATGATGTTCTTCACCTGGAGAAAGCAATCAGAAGTCAGTACAAGGCAGCCCCATGCATTGTGCACACGGAAATGGATGCTCAACACTGACTTCAAGCTTAATGGTTAGTGAGGAGACCCTTCACTGTGTGCTTCCCAAATCAATCCCAAGGATGATTTACGAATTATGGGGGATATAAGGTCTGGAAATTTATAGATTTCCACAAATTTTACTGGTTTTCCAATTGTTTACATAACTAAGTACTTTCGGGAGCACCATTTTACACTTCCATATGTGTACATGCTTCACTCAGCCTTTATCAAAACTCCAGTGTCAATACCCCATCACCTTCCCTCCCCTGTCCTCTCTTCCCCCACCCTCTTTATACCCTCTGGTAACCAGCATATTTTTCACAGTCTGTGAATTCTTCCTGTTGTGTTGTGCTATTGTTTTCTTCGACTATTTATGTTCCACAAGTGAGCGAACCCATTCAGTAACTATCTTTCACTTAGCATAATCATAAGGTCTATATTTTAAACTATTATCTCAGTGCTGGGCCAGGGTCTACTGCCAGGGTCTTTATGTGAACTTCATTTTGAGGTAGATTCTTTTACTATCCCCATTTTACATATGAAAAATGGAGGAAACCAAGGTTTCATGGTTAAGAACCTTGCCTAAGGCCCTATAGCTAACAAGAATGCACTAAACCAACAGTGGGCAGGTAGGATTATTGGACATGTTTTCACTTTATGCATATATATATATGCATAAAGCGAAAATACACATATATATTTTCCACTTTGTCAAAAAACTGCAATATATTATATGTGAAGCAGGAAGATTACAGTTATTAAAATAAAGTGAACAGGTTAAGATACTTTTTAACCAAGAATGTAGAGAAAAGGTACATGGAGGCTTCAACAATGTCACTGTTGTATACGTATATAATTTCTTTCTTTATATTTTTCTTTTTCATGCTTTTATATATTATTATTTTTTAAAACTCTGGGGGAGAAAGTAGTATTCTTTTTATTTTATTTATTTATGCATACAAAAACTGGGGTGCAGGCCAGAAGTGTGTGTGTGTGTGTGTGTGTGTGTGTATAAAAGGATTCACCAGAGACAGAGTGGGGAGGAGAATAGGCAGAAGTACTGAAATACACTGCTGAGGGGAGCAGTGGGCGAGACAGGAGAGGTCTGATGCGCCATGTGGGTTAGCTCCCTGACTGGGGATTGAACTCATGCCTCAGTGGCTGGTGATAGCTTGATAGCACTGATAGCATGAGACTTAACCCCTGAGCCACCAGGGGGGCCCTTGATACTTTTTAAAGCTGTATGATGGGCACAAGTCTTTTCATACTATTCTCCACTGAAAATTTTTATTAACCAAAAATATTTTAATTAATTCAACACATTTTTGCTGAGTATCTACTCTGTGTCAGATATTGTGCTAGGGAAAAGCAGTAAATAAAGCAGTAAAATTCTTGCCTTTATGGAGCTTAGAAAGCTTACATTATAGTAGGAACAGAAAGAAACAGATAAAATACATAGTACATTAGTTGGTAAAAAATACTGCAGAAAAAAAATGAAGCAGTGGGAGTGCTGAAGGTGACATGTCTGTCACAAGTAGAGACCTAATGGATGTGGAGTCTGAAATATGGATGCCTGAATATTTGCATTATATCTGTAATATCAATGTTATCTATTAATGTAATGGCCACTTTGTATGAAAACTTTATGATTAACATATTCCATAATTTTGAAAAAAGAAGAGCAAAACAGATCAGACTCAGGGTTGAAGGTGATTTGACTTCATCAGTGACCATGAAAAAAATCTTTTTTTTTTATTATTATTATTTTTAAAATTTATTTATACAAGCACTGGGTACAGTCAGAAGCGCAGGAGGGTGAGAGAATTCACCAGAGCCAGAGTA